ATTGGCACGTAAAATGACATTTTTCTTCTTACAAGAAAGCCAAATAAGTATATCTCTAAATACCAGATGAAAATTAAAAAAAAAAAACTATCTTAAGTTTTGGTAAATTATTTATTGTAATTAACTATGGATGAGATTTACTAAAACTGGTGCTGATTGTGGTAGCCAATCAGCTTCCAACTTCAGTTTGTTTAATCTTTGGCAGTAATATATGAGAGCTGATTAGTTTTTATGGAGAGCTGCAGCAGATTTTGCTCCATGAAATTTTAGTAAATAACCCCCTATGTGTTAATGCTTGGTCGGTTTAGATAAAATCAAGGTGCTGTTTCTCAGCAATGTGACTCTGATACCTTGGAGGACTGAAAAAAAAAAATCATTCACAAAGCCTTTTAGTATTCAATAATGATATATGTATTATTGAATTGTGATCTTCACAAACTCTAGTTTTCTGATTTAGGTTTACATACATACAATATATTAAAGAATAGTTTCAGGCAACCATGAAGCCAGTCAGTGAATTACCTGTAGCATTTCAAAAGTGCTAATATCAAAAAACTAGTCCTGTATAATCCACTAGAGCCAGATTTACAGTTTATTAAAGAAAAAACTTTTTTTTTTAGTTTTGGATAGAGTGGAGATGGATTCCAACACCTATTAGGTTTTTATTGCTGTCTGTGTCCCCTATTAGAGACGTTTACCCTCTCTATTTATCTTGTTTACCATTATCACTGAAAGTGAAAGCAAAAGAAAATCCCAAAGTTTGGCCTATAGTTTTAATTTAACCTCCCTGGCGGTATTCCCGAGTGTAGCTCGGGGTAAAGTTTCAGTACCAAAAGCGGTAATCCCGAGCTACACTCGGGCTTGCCATGCGGCAGTGCACAGGGATTCCCTACAGCGCTTACCTTGTCCTTCGCTCCCGCGATGCGTCCCCTGCAGCGTCCCTGGCCATCTCCTCCGGCCGATGCCGGCATCTGGCTTCTGTGTTCTGGTCCCTGTGACGTCGGGACGTACGGGCGCCGTAACGGGCGCAAATTTGAAAATTTTTAAAAAATTTAATTTTTTTTTAAAACTATTTCATAGCAAAACATTCCTGTATCAAAGCATTTCACATACATTTTGTCCCTACTGCTTTGTCCTGTGCCCTGCCTGCATTTTGACTGTTCTTTCTGCCTGCAAAAAAGTCCCACGGCGTCCAAAAAGCGTCCCTTTAGGTCAAAATCGGTTTTAGACCGGCTAGAGAACAGCGATAGTAAATCAGAACTACTTGCAGAATTAAGTGATATGATTCATGGGGGAAATTCGTCATCAGACACTGAAAACGATTTTGCGACTTTGCTCAGTGATGTGCGAACTTGGCGCTCTATTTCAAATTTCAGTGTTTTTGGTTTGATTATATTATTGAATTAAATTTATTATGATATTATTATTTTTTGAGTATTTATTAAGTAAGTAATTACTAAGAATTGCAGGCCTACAATACATAACACCAAATTTCCATGCAAAAAAATGGTACCGCTTTTGGTACAAAATTCCTGACATAATCATACCGCCAGGGAGGTTAAGAGAGCTCCCCCAGAAAATAATTGGGTTCGCTGAGGTTCGGCCTAAGGAAGATATTCAATGTTACAGCTTGTCTCTTGTTAGTATTTTGTTGCAACAAATTTTTGCTTTGTGATTACTCTTAAAATGGCTGCTGTGACAGAGCTTGACTGTGCCACAGCGTAGAAAAGGATTTTGTGTCACCCAGGGTTCTCATCAGTGCAGGTTTAGGGGCTGCAGGATGTGGGTTGCAGTTTTCTCTTGGATTGGTAAATCCTGGTATGGGTTCTGGAACTGGAAATTTTGTAGAGCATTAAGTGGGATGAAGCCTTCAACCTTGGCTCCATATTTTAATGGCGACCAGCACCCGCTGATTGTGCAGGTATGCACAGCCCTTATAGTAGGAGTACAGATTATAGCTCAGGTTTCACAGAATGTGGACCAGTTCAAGGTGTGCACCAGTAAGCATAGTCATGTTGTGAGACAAAGGGCCTAAGCTATAGACCAGAGAAGTGGTGCTGTTTGGAAGAAGCCAGACGACTAGATACACATTTGCTTTGTTTTGAAATTTATGTTTTGGAAATCCCTATGTGGGAAATGCTGATAAAAGGGATATTTCTTTTTAAAAGTGGGTGAATCAAGCCTTGAAATGCAACCATGGCACCACCTGCCATGTTCTCCCTGTGCTAGCGTGGGTTTCCTCCGGGTACTCCGGTTTCCTCCCACACCCCAAAGACATGCTGGTAGGTTAATTGGCTCCTGTCTAAATTGACCCTAGTATGTGTATGTATGGATGTGAGTTAAGGACCTTAGATTGTACACCCCTTGAGGGTTAGGGACTGATGTAAATGTACAATATATATGTAAAGCACTGCGTAAATTGACAGCACTATATAAGTACCTGAAATAAACAAATATATTGCCATTTGTAGACTTTCACGTAAACCAATTAGTTTACACGTATTGTGATTTTTTTTGTTGTAGCAAAGACATGTAGCAGAATACACATTTCGCCTAAATCTATGAAAAAAAAATTGATTTAAAAATTTTTTTTTACTGGATATGTTTTTATAGCAAAAAGTAAAAAATATTTTTCTTTTCAAAATTGTCGGACTTTTTTTGTTTATAGCACAAAAAATAAAAACTGCACAGGTGATCAGGAAATGACATAAATTTCATTTATGTTCAATGTTGCATGACCACGCAATTGTCAGTTAAAGTAAAGCATTGCATCGGAAAAAATGGCTGCTGGTCAGGAAGGGGGGTAAATCCTCTGGAGGGCAAGTGGTGTAGCCTCCCTGGCGGTATTCCCGAGTGTAGCTCGGGGGTTAAAGTTTCAGTACCACAAACAGTAACCCCGAGCTACACTCGGGCTTACCATGTGGCACTGCTCTGGGGTCTGTTCTTCTCTTACCTTGTCCTGCGCTCCCACGATATCCCTCCTGCAATGTCCCTTGTAATGTCCTCCGGCGGATGCCGGCATCTGTCTTCTGGGTTCCGTCCCCTGCGACATCGGGATGTACGGGGGATGGAACGGCGGGAAATTTGAAAATGTCAATAAGTGACATTCACTAAAATCACATAGTAAAACATTACTGTATCAAACCATTTCACATACATTTTGTCCCTAGTGCTTTGTCCTGTGCCCTGCCTGCATTTTTACTGTTCTTTCTGCCTGGAAACTGAGAAATGTCCATGGCATCCAAAAAGCGTCCCTTTAGGTCAAAATCGGTTTGAGAACAGCGATAGTAAATTAGAACCACTTGCAGAATTGAGTGATAATGATTGGTGGGGAAATTCGTCATCAGACACTGAAAACGATTTTGCAACTTTGCTCAGTGATGTGTTAACTTGGCACTATATTTCAAATTTCAGTGTTTTTGGTTTGATTATATTATTGAATTACATTTATTATTATTTTTTTTATGATTATTTATTAAATTATTATTTATGATTTCGTGTTTCAAATTTTAACATACCCGGGATGTTTACTAGACTCTTGTTCGGACAGATTTCAGTGAGTTATTCCTAAAAATTACAGGCCTACAATAAAAAAAATACATATTTCCATGCAAAAATAATGGTACCGCTTTGAGCACAGAAATATGGACATAATCAGACCGCTAGGGAGGTTAAGAAAAAATAATTAAAAAAGGCCTAAAACACGGTTTTGCAGATTTTCAGACCAGACTGTGATATAATATTATGCAGGACAGAGTCCATTGTCATAGATGGGTAACTTGATACAAGCTACCTGTGCCTGCTGTCACTAAGACAATTTAGTAGCAGCAGCAGCAGCACACTTTTTGTATCACTGTCATGATGGGGTTAAAGAACAAATATTAGCCCTTTATAGTACAAAATATATTCAGCTTAGCTGAAGATAATCATTACAGAGAGTTAATTTATACTGTAAAATAGTGAAAGTATTAAATATATATATATATATATATATATATATATATGTAACTTATATTATACACGTTATAGTAAATATACCCAGAAGTTGGATATAAGGGGTATTTACACTGGGAGTCAGAAATGCAGTTACATGAAGGGGGAGGTGAATATAAATCTTTTTATATTAATGTAGTAGTAAAGGCCGAGGCTTTTTTTGCATAAGTATAATCATTTTTAACTATCGTATTTTTCACTCCATAAGACACACACCTGACCATAAGACGCGCCTAGGTTTTAGAGGAGAAAAACAAGAAAATAAATATTCTGAACCAATGGACTGCAGACAAAGTACAGGAGATGACCAGAGACTGCGGACATAGTACAGGAGATGACCAGAGACTGCGGACATACTACAGCAGATGACCAGAGACTGCGGACATAGTACAGGAGATGACCAGAGACTGCGGACATAGTACAGGAGATGACCAGAGACTGCGGACACAGTACAGGGGATGACCGGAGACTGCGGACACAGTACAGGAGATGACCAGAGACTGCGGACATACTACAGGAGATGACCAGAGACTGCGGACATAGTACAGGGGATGACCAGAGACTGCGGACATACTACAGGAGATGACCAGAGACTGGGACATAGTACAGTAGATGACCAGAGACTGCGGACATAGTACAGGAGATGACCAGGGACTGCGGATATAGTACAGGAGATGACCAGAGACTGCGGACATAGTACAGGAGATGACCAGAGACTGCGGACATAGTACAGGAAATGACCAGAGACTGCAGGCATAGTACAGGGATGAACAGACTGCGGACACAGTACAGGAGATGACCAGAGACTGCGGACACAGTACAGTAGATGACCAGAGACTGCGGACACAGTACAGGAGATGACCAGAGACTGCGGACACAGTACAGGAGATGACCTGAGACTGCGGACACAGTACAGGAGATGACCTGAGACTGCGGACATAGTACAGGAGATGACCTGAGACTGCGGACATAGTACAGGAGATGACCAGAGACTGCGGACATAGTACAGAAAATGACCAGAGACTGCAGGCATAGTACAGGGATGAACAGACTGCGGACACAGTACAGGAGATGACCAGAGACTGCGGACACAGTACAGGAGATGACCAGAGACTGCGGACACAGTACAGGAGATGACCAGAGACTGCGGACACAGTACAGGAGATGACCAGAGACTGCGGACACAGTACAGGAGATGACCAGAGACTGCGGACACAGTACAGGAGATGACCAGAGACTGCGGACACAGTACAGGAGATGACCAGAGACTGCGGACACAGTACAGGAGATGACCAGAGACTGCGGACACAGTACAGGGGATGACCAAGAGACTGCAGACACAGTACGGGGGATGACCAAGAGACTGCAAACACAGTACAGGGGATGACCAAGAGACTGCAGACACAGTACAGGGGATGACCAAGAGACTGCAGACACAGTACAGGGGATGACCAAGAGACTGCAGACACAGTACAGGGGATGACCAAGAGACTGCAGACCTTTGGGAAGGGAGGGGGAGCGGGTACCTGAATTTGACAGATACTCGCTCCCAATTCTGCAGAGTTGTCCTCCCTTTAGTGTAGGCACCCGGCTATGTCCGGATGTGCTGGGTGCCCACTGTGCATGCACGAGAAGCGCTGCGCTTTGTGAATGGCCCGGCGTCTTCTGGGACCTGTCATGTGTCAGAAGATGCCGGACAATTCTCAAAGTGCAGCGCTTCTCACGCATGCGCAGTGGGCACCCAGCTGTCACAGCCGGGTTCCCACACTAACGATGCCGGCGTGGGAAGACTGCACAGCGCTGGACCGAGGAACAGGTAAGGTCCTGCTGCAGAGAAGAGCTGAGCGGTCCGGCTCTGTATTCTGACACGGCAGCAGTGGAAATACCGGACCGGCCTCTCCATATTCGCTCTATAAGATGCACTGACATTTTCCCCCTTTTTTGTGAGGGGAAAAAAAGTCTTTATGGAGCGAAAAATACAGTACTTGGCGTCCCTCTCACAGTACATTTACTGATTAGCTGTAGCTAATCACAGATGACTAGTAATCACAGCTGTTTTGAATGTAAGCCATGCATGACAGTTTAAAACACTGCTTTTACAGTAATCATCATTGTAACTGCAAACTGTATTAAAAAAAAAAAATCCCTGATCACCTCCCCCCCAGAGTAGTACAGTGTTACTATGGTGACCCTGATTACCTCCCCCCCAGAGTAGTACAGTGTTACTATGGTGACACTGAACTACTTTAATGAAAGTGTGCAAAAAAAAAAAAGATTAAAAAAATGGAAAGAAATTTTAATAGATTATTTAAAAATGTATTGTTTTTTTTTTTTTTTTTACATACTGTCACCAATCAGTATCCCTGATCACAACCACACCAGTCATATGATGACGCTGTACTGCTCTGGTGACAGTGTGTAAAAAAAAACAAAAAAAAACAATTTCTTCATTTTCAAAAAAATTGTGACAATAAAGTTACAACTTCCAAAAACTCGCATGCCTCCTACTAAATACCGCAGACTGTCTACTTTGCAAAAATTGGGTTGATATGAAAATCGATACTGAAAATAGCTGACAACTATTTTTATAATCTATTATCAGTTATGTCGATTAGTAGTTTCAGCCCTAGTCCTGCTAGTGGACTCTCACAGGCACCACAACAATAAAAGACAACTTATGTTGCCATTGTTCTCTCAAACACCTGTACAAATTTGGGTTTAGCATGATGTGAATTTTGTGTGAAAATGTAATTGTTTCTTCTGAGAAATGGAAAATAAAGCAAAAAATGATGACACATGCTCAGCAGATAGAAATGATCTTGCCCTGTAAGGGTTGAATGTTCTGTTCAGTTTATGCTTTTGAATCTGGAGTAGAATAACATTGTTTCTGCCAAAATCTTAATGGACTTTTAATGTGGTATTCAAGTTTAATTATATTTGCAAGAATATGAATATTAACTCCAGCTAGAACATTGTGGTGTATGTGGATCAAGCTGTGTTATACTTATTGTTGCCAGACACCTTCCCGGTATAGTAAGATGGAAAAAGAGTAATGGAGTTCCCTGTACTGTCCTGTGCTGGATGTTTTTCTACTGCCAACATTGTGCCACAGTAAAAACAGTTCACTTCTTGTTAGACAAATGTTGTGCAGATTACAGGGGGCATTAGGGCTCGTGTCAGCAGGCATTGTTTTTCTGAGTTTAATGTACAAGTGCATGTCAAACACAGATCAGCAGATCCCCATGTTTTCAATGATGTAGAGTGTGGGTGACAGTTCTGAGATGTGCTGGCTCTGCTTTGCATTGCTTTTCATTTCTTAGGAAGTAGCCGGTTCCCCTGACATGCTGTACATTTACATTGCAGGCAAAGCAGGTCAAATGGAATGTATGTCTGTGCCCAGACTATGCACACTGAAACATTTATATATTCTAAACAAGCAGTAAAAGAACTTTAAAGGCCTATTTATACTTGTCAATTGTACTTGTCCATTTTGATGCAGCAAAACACCTGCACTCTGCTGCATGTAAATGTTGCCCTCAGTATGGTAACCACTGATTCCACTGCTCTCTCAAACCTCCTACTCTGCCTGCCTGCAACTGACATCTGTGTTCTGTTGCCCTCGGTAACCACTGATTCCTCTGCTCTCTCAAACCTCCTACTCTGCCTGCCTGCAACTGACATCTGTGTTCTGTTGCCCTCGGTAACCACTGATTCCATTGCTCTTAAACCTCCTACTCTGCCTGCCTGCAACTGACATCTGTGTTCTGTTGCCCTTGGTAACCACTGATTCCACTGCTCGCTAAATCACTAAGCTATTTTTTACATCACTGAAATTATCCGCTTTGTTAAATTTTTTTTGTAACTGCTGTCTATACTTGTCTATATTAGGTTAACTTAGTCTCTTAGTGCCTTAGCTGAGATCAAACACCTTGCCTTCTTTCGTGTCCATCCTGCTTGCAATTTGTTAAGGGCAGAACACCTCCGCCATGTGTCATGTATTAGCTCTTAATTGAACTATTGCCTAACCTCGCCCAATCCATCCAAGTATAAATTCAGTACAGTCCTTGGGGTGACTGGCAAGGGGACAGGCTGGCCATTCCTTGAGCACAGTGCATGGCACTTTGAACATGGCACTTTAACTAAGGCAAGTACAAACATTAGTGCTCCACCCCAAGTAGTCTGCAAGTGCTCTTTCCTCTATCATCTCTTTCCATTAGCCTTCCTTTGTTACTTCTCCTCTCTCCAGCATGCTCTTACTAACTTTCTTTTTTGCTATAATGCCCTCTCTCCTCAAACTCTCTCTTCTTTACCCCTCCTCCCCACACACCACAACCTGTACATATCACCCTCACTTCTGCCCTCTCAATATCATTGCACTTATCTCCTGCTCTCTCTTAGCCCACATAATGTCACCACTCCAAAATCACTGAGGCATTTGCCCTCATATAAATTCCGCTCCCACCTCACCTCCCTCACCCTCCTATTACTACTAACTTCTGGAGACATCGCCCCAAACCCTGGCCTTCCACCATCAAATTCCAGGCCACAGAAGCAGCAGCCTCCCTTCTCTGGCTTTATCCGCAACCCTCGCTCTCTTATTTTAATTCCCCTTCTTCCACGCACCAACCCCTCTCTCTTATGTGCCCTCTGGAACACCCGTTCAGGATCTAGCAAACTTTCTACTATCAATGACCTCTTCCTCTCCCACTCCCTCACCCTACTTGCAATTACCGAAACCTGGCTCCAGGATTTCAACTCTGTCTCCTCAGCTGCACTCTCCATTGTGGCCTCCTCTGGACTCACTCACCCAGACCCAGTAGATGAAAAGGGGGCAGAGTTGGACTTCTTCTTTCTCCACAAAGCACGTTCCAGGTTCTTCCTACACCTCCCTCTCTGTCCCTCTGCTCTTTTGAAGTGCACTGTATTCGTCTCTGTTCTCCTGTTTGTCTGAGAATCGCAGTCACCTACCGGCCTCCTGGCCCAGTTTCACGCTTTCTTGATGGCTTCTCGGCATGGCTACCATACTTTCTCTCCTCTGACTTTTACATCCCAGTCAATGTTAACATCTCAGCCACTTCTCAACTACTCAGCCTAACTTCTTCTTTTTTAACCTAACACAATGGACACAATCCACCACCCACTCTAATGGCAACACCCTCTACGTACCTTGTATTCTCCCACCTATTCACTCCCTGTAACCTTTCTAACACCCCTTTTCCTCTCTCTGATCACAACTTTATCAGCTTCACATTCTCCCTGTCTCCTACCTCCCATGCCTCCAACCAGCAAACCGTTACCTGTAGAAACCTCCACCACATCAGCCCTGAACTTCTTCACTCTGCAATTGAGTGCCTCTATGATACAGTTGCACTGCTGTCCTGCCCTGACCTGGCCACATCTGCCTACAAAAACTATCATCCTCCCTGGACGCTCTTGCTCCTCTCTCTACATGCAGAACCAGGCCTCACCTGCCACAATCCTGGCAAACAGATGACACCAGAAGTCTCAAGAGATGCAGCCGTGCATGGCGTAAAACTAAATCCCTGCAAGACTTTACCCTCTACAAATCCGCCCTTCTCAAATACAACTGTGGCCTCCACGCTGCTAAACAAACATACTACAACACTCTCATCAAAACCCTCTCATCCAATCCTCATCAACTCTTTTCTACCCAAAATTCCTTACTCCACCCAACACTGCCTCCACCCACCAACTTACTGCACAGGAGATTGCCAGTCATTTCAAGAACAAGATTGACACAATTTGTGATGATATCTCCAGTGTCAAGCTTTCTCCTCCAACCAACATACCAGGCCCAACACCACACTCAACACTCTCCTCCTTCGACCCTGTTACCACCGAGGAAGTTACCAAACTCCTTTCCAAGGCTCACTTCACCACCTGTCCCCTGGACCCTGTCCCCACACAATTATTGCAGCCTCCTTCCTGCTCAATCCTAAACTCTCTAACCCACATCTTCAACCTCTCACTCTCCATAGGTACCTTTCCCTCCCCGCTCAAACATACACTGGTTACCCCCATACTTAAAAAACCCTTGCTGGACCCCACCTGTTTGAATAACTTTAGACCCATCTCCTTGCTCCCGTTTGCCTCCATGTTTCTCACAACCACATAAACTGCTACCTCACCGATGACAACCATCTTGATCCCCTACAGTCTGGCTTCCGCCAACAACATTGCACTGAAACTGCCCTACTAAAACTCACTAACTACCTACTAACTGCTAAAACCAATGGCCATTACTCCATACACCAAAATGGTAAAAATGACAGTACTTTTTTAAAAGGTTTACGTTTAGTAGTATATTAAAATTTGATTTATATTAAATACAGATGGGTCCTGACATATGCACTTTAGTTTAACCACTTCCTGTTTGGTCTATGTACATAAACCATGGACAGGATGCTTGCCGACACGGCTGGATGTTTCTGAATGTCATCAGAGGCTCGTGAGCGGCTCAGAGTGTGCGTTTGGGAGCCCCTGATTGGCTTGTCCTCTGGACACAGCGGATCACATTACCGCTGTGTCCGGGTTATCACATGGTCTTGTATCATGTGATTGCAGTGTGCAATCACAGCAATCATATGGTAAACAATATAAACTAAATGTAAATATCGGTTCTCTCTCCTCTCACAGCCCATCACTTGCTGAGGCCTGTGAGTGTACACTGCCTGTCACAGTGCATGTACACTCACAGACTGCATTGGCAGCCATCCCCAGTGTCCTTGATCACTGCCCCAAGTGTAGTACAAATAAACAATGCAGCCAGCTTCTGTCACCTGTTCCAGTGTCATCAGTGCTCACAATACAACCTCCATACACC